ATGCTTATGGACTAGACCATTAATTATTCTTGAATGAATTTACTTTCAAATATTGACAAAAGAGCACAGTTCTTTAATTATGTAACAATGGACACCAACCAAACCAAGCCAAACCTAGTTTTAGATTTCCTAGTGGATATTCAGACTAAAGTGTGCTACAGCACTGTAAATATATTTTCATTCTGGATTGGTATATTTGCTAGGGTACATTCCTCCCTAATTACATCAGAGAAACACAATGGTGTAGGAGTGCTCTTGTTCAAGCCTAAAAGCTTATGTAATAAAAATTGTTAGTGGATATTTGCAGCTGAAGTACCTTGGTGTCTGAATGTGCTGTATTCCCCCTTCTGCTAGCAATTACAGGATGCTTCACAAGGGATGCCAGGCTTTATGCAGTGTTCTTTATTTGTGGTAAATTAGGGAGATGTTCTGTAGCGCTGAGGTTGCTGAATATATTTTTCAAATGCCAGGTGACTGCAGTTATCATTTTATAGGTGAACAACTAGAACTATCTAATTGTGCTTTGAGTGTATACATCCACAGCAGTCCAAATTACACCAGCAGTAGTGCTGCTATTTATACAGGTGATAATAACTCTACAGAAAATACCACCCACCTGGGAATAAGAGACTGTAGTAGAAGTCCTTATTTATCTGCCTATCAAAATACTCTAAGGCTGAATTTACAAAAGGATAGTGTTTATATTAACAGTGGAAAAACTGTACCTATGTTCTTTTCACACATGGAAAATGGTCTGTGAGGGGTTTTTTTTTATCCTTGCAAAGGAAAATCACCACAAAAATACAGTGTACTGGATTGTGAGGAAAGCTACAAAACAAAGTATAGATTGGAGGCCTGAGGAACAGGTTATACATGATCAAGGCTAAAATTCACTTGTAAGGATGTCTTTTCTTACCCCTTCATGAATACCTACTCTGACCTGTAATAGAATGGTATCATGTTTTAGCACATAGCTACAAATGGCTGCTGGAAGCTTCCCACCATGTCAGGCACAGCCAATGCCTGATGGCTCTGAAGATGGACAGGCTGCTGGCCAAAACTGGGCCAATGAGTGAGGTTGGTAATGCCTCTGTGATGGTCTGTGATGGCATATAAAGAAGAAAATCAAAGTCACGGGGTTTTACTTCTTGTCAGAGAAGAGGAGGAGGTGAGAATAGGTGAGGGAGACAACATGGAGACACCAAGGTCAGTGGAGAAGGAGGGGCAGGAGGTGCTCCAGGTGCCGGAGCCAAGATTCCTCTGCAGGCCATGGTGAGACCATGGTGCAGCAGCTGTGCCCTGCAGCCCCTGGGATCCATGGGGGATGCAGAGATCCACCCACAGTCCCTGGGGATCCATGGGGGATGCAGAGATCCACCCACAGTCCCTGGGGATCCATGGGGGATGCAGAGATCCACCCACAGTCCATGGGGATCCATGGGGGATGCAGAGATCCACCCACAGCCCATGGGGATCCATGGGGGATGCAGAGATCCACCCACAGTCCATGGGGAGGTGCCCACACTGGAGCCATGAATGCCTGGAGGAGGCTGTGATCCAGTGGGAGACCCAGTGGAGAGAGTGGCCCTGCTTCCAGGCTGGAGAGGCCTGTCCTTGGAGAGCTGCACCCCATGGAAGAATGACCCACGCTGTGGTAGTTTTGGGAGGACTGTGTGCCCGTGGGGAGAGTTCACGTTGCAGCAGGTGCCGTGAGGCTGCTGCTCGTGAGAGTGGCCCCACACGGGAGAAGTTCATGGAGAACTGTCTCCTGAGGGAGGGAACCCCGGGCTCACAGGGGAAGGACTCCTCTCCCAGAGCAGCTGAAGGAAAACTCAGTGCTGAACTGACCCAGAAACCCCCATGTCCTGTCCCCTGACCTGTCAGTGGGAAAGAGGGAAGGGCTGGGGGAGAGAAGGTGTTTTAAGGGTTTATTTGATTTCTCATTATCCTTCTCTGATTCTGTTAGTAATAAATTTCACTTTGAGTGAACTCTTTAAGTTGAGCCTCTTTTGCCCTTGAAATATTTTTCCCAGTCTTTATCTCACTCATGAAGCCTTCATTAACTTTTTTTTCTTTTCCCTGCTTTGCCCAGCTGTGGCAGGGGAGGATGAGAAAGCAACTCTCTTGGACGCCTGGTGTTGGGGCTGTCTCAAACTACAACAGCTGCTCAGCATGGAAAGACATAGACCTCTTCAAGGAAGTCCAGAGGAGGGCCACAAAAACTTAGAAGGTGGGAGCACCTCTCCTATTTATTAGGATGGGTTGAGAGCTGGGGTTATTCAGCCAGCAGAAGAGAAGTCTCTGGGGACACTTATTGTGTCTAATAATTTGTGACTATCAGCAACTGAAGGGTGCCTGTAAGAAAGATAGGGACAAGCTTTTTATCAGGCACTGGGGACAAGAGGTAATGATTTTAAATTGAAAGAGGATGGATTTAGACTATATGTGATCAAGGAGTTTTTTACAATAAGGCTGGTGAAACACTGAAAAAAGTTGCCCAGAGAACAGGTAGATGTCTCATCCCTGGAAGCATTCAAGATCAGGTTCTGTGGGGCTCTGAGCAACATGACCTAGATGAAGATGTCCCTGCTGATTTCTGGGGGGTGATGGCTTGTAAAGGTCCCTTTAACCCCTAATTATTCTGTGATTACGTTATAGAGGTTATTACAAGAAAGCCTGTGTTCCTGTTGAGTGTTAAGACCTAATATTCATCTTACAACAGCCAGACAGTATTATGAAACTAGTTCCATCTGCCACAAATTCAAAACTGAAGATTGGTCTTTTTTTCTTTACTAAAATATGGATTTTAAACAAGAAAAATTTCTATACAATAATTGCTCTGTAAAAGTTCAATTTCTTTCACGTCAAATTGGATTATCAAGGGGCACCTTCAAGCTGATGGTACAGTAACAAACTGGTATGTGTAATACATGGGTATAGATAAAAAGGTAAGTGGTAAAATATTCTTTTTCATATTATTTTCATATTCTATTCAGATTCATATTATTTTAAAAGTATTTCATTGCTCTTTAATTTTTTCCACACTGGAGATATTCTGAAGACATTTAGGTTTAAGCATATTCCTTGGATTTAAGATCTAAATAATTCTGGAAAGACTGATATGTGGGACTCCTGGCAACAGTTCTAGGTGATCAGTCTGAAGGTTTTTCAGGTGCCCATGGATGGTGCTGACAGAGCTCTGCCATCTCCTTATATATGTCACACATGAAGTCCCCTTTTTGTCCTTCATGTCAGTTCTATTTGCAGACAGGGTGCAACAAGAAGTAATTACAGGCTCTTGCGCACTTACTTTCCTTGCGAGGAGCTGAATGATACCTGAGGTTACACCTGGTTGTCAGCAGGGGAAGCGACTGTCAGGAGTTTGAGCTTCTCCTCCCCTTCTGCTCAGCACTGCTGCTCCCAGGCAGGATCGAGTGCTGCCTGACATCTTGCTCCTCTGCAGGATGGCAGCTCTACCAAAATACCTATTCATTATTTTATAGGCTGTGGGACGTGTCATTGGAGCACCAGCGGTATGTTAATAACTGAGTTATACTGACACTCTGTGGAGACTGTGGGGAAAGCTAATTGAAGTCATCTGGAATGAGCAATGGTTATTGTAGTTACAGTAAAAACTCAATGACTAAATGTTAATCCCAGTAGAAAATTAAAATCTCAAAATCGATAAACCAGTGCATTATCAATGCATAAACAAATTAATGCATTACAGAAGGAAAAAAAAAAAAAGAAAAAAAAAAGAAAAAAAGGGAAAATAGTTATTTACCATGCAAAAGATTGTCTTGACATTTCTGGCACCTCTCATGAAACTGTGGGCATCCAGAGGAGTTCTCCCGGAGCTCCCTGCACTGAAGTCTCTGGCGCCCTGACACAATTTTTGAAAACATGCCACTTCTGTCAGGATCTAGAATGAAGTCATAGTATTTTTAGACTGCTGTTAAACTTAGAGTCTTTTTAAGTATGCATTCATTACCAAGCCTGAGTGCTAGGATATAATTTCTTGTCCTTAATCCAAAGTATTTTGCATAAATCCCCTTCCCTACTCCTCCACTTCACCTCCACTCCCCCAACAAAAATAAAAGGAATAAATTATTAAAAAGGAGAAGTCAGGAAAAGATTCAGATCATGTTTTCTTTCAAGGAATTCATGCTGCTGTAGTATATTCCCTTATAAAGTCTTATGACAGACATTATTCCCTGGACATAACCAAACAATTGCTGATATTATTACACATTATTTCTACAGCATGTGAGTTTTGGTAAGATCTTTTTGACCCTTAGAAGTCAACATGTATCATAAGCACATACATTAGATGAGAACACAGTACCAAAGCTTATTTCTGAGGTAACATGGCTTATGATACAGTAAAAAATTAAAACAACACAGTTCAATAGTCACTTTGTATTTCCTGATAATCATATAACGTTTATGTCACCTGCCATTCAGAGTTATGGCATGTGCTCGCTGTGATTTATTCTATTTGCAATAGTCAAATATGAGGTTTATTTGTATTCTTAAAGTTTGCCATGGTCCTTTTCCTTCACTGAATGTCATCATCAGTGGTATGCCCAGAATTTTCTGGTGACTGGAAAACCTGATGGCTGGTCTTTGATTGGCTGATGTTTTATTGTCAAATTATATTGCTGCTGTAGCCTACAAAAGGACTTGTAGCTGTCAAGCTGAACTTAGTATCATTTTGCAAGGGCAGGAATATGCCTTGACATCTCACAGAATTACCCTGATTTTTTTGAATTGGTGACCATGTCAATAAGAGATGATAGAAATCATATCCTGACAAATGCTGAGATTAAAGCCTTGTGAGAACCTGCATCCAACCTGAATTTAAGGGCTTCTGAGGAGCTCCTGCAAATGCTTTGAGAATTGCCATGAAAATCAGGCTGTGTAAGACCCCTAAGTCCCCCTACAACATTTCTCTGAGATTTCTAAGTGACTTCTATTTGTTCATTTAACTGATAGTTATCCTATCCTATTTCCATAGCCTCCAGAGCTTGCTTACATATCTCACACTCACATACTGGAAACTGAGTAATTTGCTGTAGTTTAGCCATCCCAAGGGGGTTGATGTCATTGACAGTGCAGTCAATTTTCATCTTTTGACACTTGCCTTTGGTTTGTTCTGGCACATCTCTTCTATAATCTCTGTATTCATCAAACACGTCGGTGATCACCTCACTGACACCTTCGAACACCGTCCTACTGAAATCAAAAACTATCTGTAAGAAGCCAGGCATGCCCCAGCCTCTCTGGGAGCCGTCAGTTCTGGTGGTGACCTCAGGTAAAGCTGGCATACTGGGGGACTCACTCAAGTCCAGGTCAGACATGAAATATGTCTGAAAAGACTGGTCAAATTCTTTTTGCATATGCTTGAAAAAAATGAAACTTCTGTCAAATATTGAACCCACGTCTGATAATAGCTGGCTAAATAAGTCTTCCATCTTTGCTAGCTGGGTGTCCTCTTTCTCAGGCTTTTCATTGGACTGGATGTCTCTTCCTTGATCCTCATGAAAAGTAAATATGAGTGGAGGTATTTTCCTCAAAAAATCTTCAACCTGTGTATAAGAAGGAGACAGATCAGGCAACAGACAAGTTATTGGTTTCTCCTCTCAGGTAAGTGTCTCTAATTTTTCTCTTTCAAATACTGATAGAAACAATGCCTTTGTAATAATTGCCAATACAACATATTCTCTGAAGTAATTTAATACACTAGACCTCAAAGAAAGGAAGTGCATTCAATCTAAATCATTAGTTCCAAATCAGATCTAGAGTAAAAGTCTGCCAGTTGCCCTTTAATCTGTAGGGGGTCAAAGTTATTATCATTTGGGTTTCTTCCAACAGACAGCTTGGACTTTATGTTGTAAAGACGTGAGATGCATTTCTGTCTGCTTATGTCAGTGTAATCTGTGATTGTTCTCACCTTGATTTGTAAAAAGCCTGCCCTCTCTCACCATTGGGCAAATCCTTACATCATTGTGGAAATGGAAACCAGCAAAATCAGTAAAGCAGTGGTTCTGAGTCCATGGTTTTACTGTGTAAAAGGCCAAGTGTCAATTCTGCTGTTACAGAATTCCAGTTCCTGGGTCTCAGCCACTGGTTCCCTGCTCCCTGCTTTAAGGCACTACTCTGGCCTGAGCCAGTGGAGTGGTTTTATGAGCCACACTCTATGACACTTGAAAATGGATAAGGGTTAAGAAACATTCTGCTAAAACACTCATATAGATAGATATAGACAGATATAGATAAAGACAGTTATATATACTATTCTTTAAAAAAAAAAAACCCAAATCATCAGCTTGATTTGACCACTAGTGCAGCTTAGAGGAAAGGTGAAGTGTGAAACAGCACTGCAGGAACAGCCTAAGCCATTGTTGCTCCTGCTGTCTGTGTATCCTCAGCCACAGCTATCATCTTTGTTCCAGTTTCTTTTTTTTTTTCCCTTTTCCCTTTCCACAACACAACACAACAACACAACACAATTCTTACTTTGAATGCTTCAAATAAACCAAATAACTAATGGAGGAAGTTACCAAGAGACAGTGACAATGCAGTGTAGAACTTTAACTGCAGTAATTGTAGCATCCATTGACTCTTGAAAATCCTAAACACTTGTATGAGCTACCCATGAGCAGTATCGAAAAGCTGAAAGTATCACAAATAGTCTTAAATTTAATATCTCCCAGATTTTAACCTGATTTAAGAATATGCACAAATATTAAACACTTTTGCTCCAAACCCTCTCTGAAACACACTATGTTTAATGTTTAAGTTACTGCATTTTCAGTACATGGGAGTGTTGAAAGCTAGGAAATCTAGCTAATGTTTTAGTAGCAGCAATTACAGTTTTGCTTCAGAAGTTTGTTGCACTTAAAGTGTATGCCCAAACAAAAAAATATGATTACAATTGTTAAATTTTATAGTAATAATGGGCCAGTCAGGAAACCATATTTTCTTTCTATGGAATTAGGGGAATCTCCTTTGCTGACAGGTTCCTTTATTATAAGAGATAAATCATTTTAAAGCTTTATTTGTTACTTAAAGTGTTTATTAAAGATAAATATAGGAAAGAATGATGTAATAAGTAGGTGGGGGCTTTTCCCCCATGTAATTTTGGTAGCTACATCTACATTTATAACTTTGCTGATTTTCAGATGGACCATAAAGAATCTATGTGGTATTTTTCACAGTTATCAAGCACCTTAATGCAAGTCCCACTGTGAGAGAAAACATTGTGTATCTGGAATGAGTCTGTTGGAGTTAGGGGAGTCATCAATTTCCGTGGAATCTTGCCAGGGTGCAACTGAACTCATTTTGGCTCAGCATTCCATGACCATAATCGTATGTAATCTCTACCATATAACTTCATATTTCCAGACCCTCCAAATCAAATTAATTTTAGTAAGCTGATATAACTGGCAGACCTAGGTATTGAGAAAAAATATGTGCTGTCTCTAAAACTTCGGGTGAGCTCAAGACTGTTCTCAAAGTTTCAGATACAAAGTTTCTTCCTACCTTCCTCTTAAAGGTTGACACACCATGTTTGCAAGTTGTATAGTATCTCATGCAGGTACTTTCTAAACAAGATTCACATTCATCCCATAGATTTTTCAAGGATACTTGACATTGTCTTTCCTCTTCTTCCAGTCTTGCCTTTACTTCATCCATAAGTCGCAAGGCTTGCTAAATAAGGAAATAGATTCAGTTCAGGCCAATATTCATCTGAATTAGTATTCTAATGTTGATCACTCATTTTGCTATTTATGGCTCCTTTTTTTGCTAATCCCTAACCACTAGGGTAGGCTGCCTTCTCAGCTGCAGTCACATATGGAGGGAAATGAAAATTGAAAACCTTTTCTTTATAGGATTTTTTGTTCTCTCAGGGGGCACATCCTACAGAAACAAATGGATCTCTACAGTCTACCAGGATTTTTGATGTTAAGAAAAAAACTCACACATCATTCTGTGTAAGAATTCAGCCTCCCACATGGTCATGTGTTCAACTTGTGTTATTTTTTTCTCCATATCATCTCAACAGTATTCATCTGTCCCACAAATAGTCCTTTTCTGTTACTTTTCTCTACCTTTAAGGGATTGATATTTCACGAGGGTAGGTCCTCGCCATGAAGTATTTCTAATACAGAGATATATAAAAGTAGAGCATCTCTGCTGTTTGTGAGTGTACTAATCAAAAGGATGTAGTAAGGGGATTTTTTTCTTGCTCTCGTGGAAGTGTGAGGCACTCCTTCCATACTGAAGGGCAACAAAATGCATTTTACAATGCTGCTTCTATTTACATCATCAGTTAGGGCACAAAGCTGAGCAGATCAGAACCAGCAAGTTTGGAATAGACTTGACAATGGAAAGAGAAAAATTCTTCCTATCAAAGTAGATTGCACATCATCAATTTCTCTCTCCAATTGCAAAATATTTTAATAGTTTTGGTTTCCAAACAATGTTCCAAGTTGTCTCTAAGTATGACAGAAACGTTTTAATTGGTGGGGCTTATTCTTTTTTGTTATTCCAATAGGGAAGAGACTCACATAAAAGAAAACTTGTGTCAGAATGTGCTTGATGGAAACAGTAACCACAGTTTTCATAATCTATGTTTAGTTATTTTCTGATCTTTCTAATACATTTATTCAGTGTTTTATGAACTCTCACTGTGGATGTAAGTCCTGTGTAAATGAAATCATCCAGTAAGATCTAGCAAGAATGTTGATTGTGGGAGTGCACTGGTGTTCCTTAAGATGTTAGAAAGCTATCAGGTACTTTTTGGCTTGCTAATACCAATAGTTTAAACTAACTACCAGATGTTGAGCCAGGAGGGAATTTTCCTTCAACTTTGTTGAAGCAAAGTTAGGATATTTGTATTTTTTTAAAATATACATTAAACCTCAGTTTCTTCAGATCATCTGAGCACATGGCTCTGAGCCTAGGCATTACACTAAGACATTGGAAATGTCCCTGATTCACTGTACTTTCTTTAGAGCACATTATCATTTGTGGCTTTGATATTCTCCTGCAGGTCTGAAGTTTTGCAAAGCAAGCTGGAAAACATCTTGTGCCCCTGCAATATAGAGACATGGAGGGCACAGCTGCTGGTCCTTCTGCACAAAACACTGTTCTAGAGTGGCCTGCAGTTGCCTTGGTGTGAATTCAGTGAAGGGGTTTTTAGAAACAAGCAGTGTGTGCAATTTTCCTCTGCTAGTGAGACAAAGGGGAAGGAGCAGATTTTCTCTCAGTCCCATGGCTGTATGAAAAGATGTACACTGCTTGTTTCGTATATACAATTTGGTTTACATTCTTCCCAGGATAAACATATAAACCCTACAGATGTGTTTATGTTACCTGTTTTTCTTCACTGCTCTTCTTCAAGGTTTTCATCAGATCTATGTGCTTATCTTCATTTCTTTCCATCATAATTTTCATCTGCTTAATACCAATCAAAGCTTTCTTTACCTCTTCATCTACATACTTCTCTCCAACTTCAGATAATTCTAAAAAAAAGCCAAATTATACAGTGACTTAATCAGATTTTAACACTATTGCAAATTGTCATGCACTGATGATGAAGGAGAATGAAACAGCTCTATGTTTCCCTATAGTGGCAGAGCCAAAGCTGAGATAGCGAATGCTGAATAACACTGAGCCAAGACAATTTCCATCAGATAAGAATCTGGCCCAGAGCTTTTGCAAGGATCAGCTGTATGTAACTCAAAATATATATTTGACTGTCCCACTGCTGAGTACTGAGTCCCAGAATAATTGAGGCTGGTACCTTTGGAGATCACTGAACCTTCCCCCCTCCTCCCCCCTCAAAGCAAGGTCAATCCAGGTTGCACAGGACATCATCCTAGGTTTTTGGTATCTCCAAGGATCACTCATCAGTTTTCTAATGACATAACCTTTATATTTATCTTTTCTCTGCTAGAAGCCTGTGACAGCTTCTCTCTGCATTTTGAAAATGTAGATTACACGTGACTTCAACCTGTTTTCACAAAAATTCAATTTCCAGATTTCCTGTGACATAATGACTGTAGAGTTTTGGTGAAAACCTGGGCTGGCCCATGCGTTGCACCTTGAACATGATTGTCTACATGATTGCCTATCCTTTATCTATATTTATTTACTTTGTGGAAATACCCTTATTATCACTGGAACTATAGAAAACAAGCAAAACCATATCACCTTGAGACTGCCAAAACCACATCAATCGCTTCTTCCTTTATATCTTTCTTCCTCACCTCTTCTTGTTTGTTTATTACAGAAATCTTGTCAAGATAGAGTGAAGCACAGGATTGTTTAATGGCTGATCCTCTTTCTACCCACAAAATAAAGCCAAGCTTAGAGATGTGTGTGTGTGCAGAATAGCTGCTATTTTCTGAATTAAGTATTTTTATTTCAGCTGTTTGTAAAAGCCATCTTTTTCAGTGAAGTATGTAAGTGTAGAGGAAATACTTTCAACGATTATTTGAACAAACAAAAGAGTTCAAAATCTCTTGAATTAAATTTTGGATTTGTTTTGTATTCTGATGATCTACAAGGAACCAAATGACCTATAAAAATCCTGTAAATACTTTTTTTTTTTCTGGCAGGTGATGGTTGTCTGTTAATCCCTTTACTTTCTCATCCTGCTTGTTCTTATCTTCCTAGTGTATGTGTGTGTGTGTGTGTAGGCATTCAATCAGCTTTATTATGGTTTCTAAGCTCCACACAAGCAAGTGGAACTTCTTGATGCCAGTGAGTGTGGAAGTTAAAATGCAGTGCCCAGCTGGAGATGTGTGCCCAGGGGCTTCCAGCACACCCTGGCAGGAAAAGCATACGCACGCTTGAGGTTATCCCGGAGATTCATTTCCTCCTGCTTCGTTGGTGCACACTGATGGCCCTTCAGACACAGCAGATGTATTATAAGTATCCAAGAGGACCTCATGTTCTTTCTGTTAAAGAAAAACAGTTTGGTGCAGTTATACGTAAACATTGTCAGGAAGCTCAGATATCTGGGTATATTAAGTAAATATAAATACTAATACTAAGTATCTTACAAGATCCTGTTAATTTTGTCTTGAACTATGGTTTCTGAGATGTATAGCATGCACCTAAATGCTACTCTTGGTGAAAAATACATGAGTAAGAAGCTTGACCTCATTTGTAATTATCTATTTAGATTAATTAGATTAATTCCACCGAGTTTGCACAATGGTTAACGTAATCAGGACATGTATGTATAAAATCAAAAGCTTATGCTGCTCAGTTTGTTCCTTTTCTACTTTGTGAAACACACTAATTACTGATCTCATATTATAAATACATCCATGCTAAACACTATTGCCAGTTTTAAAGAAGGAAGTTTCTGGAATGTTGTTCCCTTCTTGTGTCTAAACATGCAATTCCTTTTACTGTCCTTCAGAATAAGACTTAATATAAGAGACACAACAATAAGTGTGCCAAGAAATTAGCAATTAGATCAATTTTATAAAATAGAAGAAATCCCTGCAAAATAAGGGAAAGAAATGACATTTGCTTTATTTCCCTCCTAAAAGCATAGGTGAAAGCTTTCTTTTTCAGAAACCATGCAACTGCATTTTATGATTCCCATCTTATTAAGTGAACACAGTATTCAGGTGCCTTGTAGTTAGCCAATATAACCTTGGAGATTCAATTATCAGCTGCAAGAGCATATGTAAATTAACAGCCTGAATTTGTTTATAGCCTGGATTTACTTCTATGGTTACTTGCATATTACCCTTACTTTTACAGTGAAATTAACCAATTAACTTTGAAAAGAAATACAAACACACAACCAAAGAAAAGTAAGAAAACCAAGTATATTTACCATTAATATTTTGCACCTCTTCTGCAATATTGCTCCCTGCGTCAGGAAGGGGCTGGGCTGTGTTCTGATCTAATTTCTGGGAGTGTCAGGGATTTTGCCATGTTCTACTTATCTGATGAGAAGGTACTTAATCCTATTAGCAGGACGTTTAGTCATTAGGCTGAAGGATTTTGCATGTATACGACTTCATGCTCATCTCTGTGGGCAAAACCACCAGAGGGAGTATTGGGCAGAATTGCCTGATTTAATGTAATTTGGAACTCCTACTTTTCTGTAGTCTGTAGCCTTTTGTAGTGTTAGGCCTTCCATTGTCTTACTTTTTACTTTAGGAGACACCTGCAGCTTATGTTATTAGTGAAATTGATACCATTAGTTTGTCTAAAAATAGCTTTCAACATTTTATCTCTTCAGCATAGCTTTAGCTTGCTATAAAAACCACTGCATTATGTAAGGGCCTTCTTTGTACACATTCTGAAGGTACAGGAGCTGAAGAAAAGATTAGGAGCCCAGATGCAGGCTGGCATTTGAGCAGATTCTGGAATGAGATAAACAATTTTTTGGCATTTTGTTGTACTTGCCAATGTTTAGGGGGTTTGCCCACTTAATGCTACGTTCTTCAGTTTCTCCATGACTGTGAGATATGTCTGAGATCTGACTTGTACAAAGTTTTGGCTACTTTGAAGTGAAATATTTAAATAGCAACAGATGCTTGATATAAAATATGGACAGGTATTGTTAGCAAATCATATACCCACATGTGACATTCAGCAATATCACTCCCTTTTAGTCAAAGAGGAGATGGGGAGGGTGGGTGTCTGTAGCTCACAGTCTGCAAGAGCAGCTTTAAGACATTCTATTCTATTTTATTTACCTAATCATTCATAAAAGCCAATCAACGATTGAGGGCTAAGATCTCGCACGGTTAATGCTGCTTAGGCAAGAGATTTGACGGATTTAGTTTTGAACACATTATCAGGAAGAGTGAAGAATCACACTTTTTTTCTGAAAATGATGGGTGGAATGAAATATGTGCTTTCTTGTAATCTATACGAATTGCTGTCACTGAGTTGCTGCTTACTCCTTGACCAAGACTCATCACTACCCAAAACATTTCAAGTTCTCTTCTGTGACACCCTTGCAGACCTTGCAATCCCCTGGCCAGACTGTTAAGGATCCCTGGGTCCTGGGCTGAAGCAGAAGGGGCAGTCTCTCTCTCTCCCCCTCTGAACCTCACACTTGGCTGAGGAGAGATTGAAAATGGAAAATACATTTGCACAAAGGAAGACAATCTATTACAGATGCTTGTGAAACGTGTGCTGTTAGACTACAAGTGTAATGAATCCTAAGACTTTAATCTTTCATGCAAGGGTTTGTTCACTCATTTTTGACATTTAGCTTTGCTAATATTCATTTACTAGCAGCATTCATTTGCTGCTCTTTCTGAGCCTGACTGTATATAGAGAAAGCTTTAAGCAATCTGGAGTAAAAAGGGTGGTTTCAACATGTCATTCGTAGTTCACAGGAGTTTGTGAGAAAGCAGGTGGCCCCAGCCCTGTGGGGACAGAGAGCAGCACTCCTGCCCCGGGGGAAGAGGCTGGAGAATGCCTCTGGCACAGATCCCACCACTTACCTGCAGAATTGACTGCTTTCTGAAGGTCTTCTTGGGAGTGTCTGGTCAAGCACACACTTGCACCTTGCAAAGCCAATCCTTAGGCTGATGCTGAGACACAGAGTCCTGGTGTGTGTTGAGCTCCTATTCTCAATTCAGTTGATTTTGAACATTGCAAAGTCTCTTGCTTCATCTTAGATGTTGCTCCTCATACTTTATTATAACCATTATGTAACCACATGGAAATAGGCACTACTATATGCATCTATTTCTTTTTACAAAATCACTAAATCCTAGTTCTTTGCTCTCATGTTATTTCATATATATAATCTAGTGGCTGAAAGAGGAGGTATAAGGAACCCAAGGACAAAATTGATAGAGCTAGTATGTCTGTTAAATTTAATCTTGGGCTTAAACTAACATTAGAAGTGCACTTAAGAACCCAACACCCTGTTCCTGAAAGGCAGCTGTTAATCATGCTTACTCTGAAAAGCTTTTCCGCTCTCATTTCTGTTTTGAATTTAATTAGACAAAAATCTCATCAATAATACCTTCAGGTTTCATGTTAAATATCCACTCTCTTTTAACATTCCAAATCTGATTCACAGTGACCTGTTGTGGAGATCTCCATTTCTCCATTTCAGCTGCCATGTTTAATAGTTTCCTCTTATTATTTTATTTTCCTCTGAATTTGAGTGCTTTGATCAGCTATAGTGTAGCATGTCATGTCATGACATTGTGCAGACATTTTCCATTTTTCCCACTCTTATACAAGCACATGATTCAGTGCTTATTGATGCTGTTGAAATTAATAAGGTACTCTTATTATATTAAATCATAGTACATACTACAGTCTGAAGAAGATGTTGGGACCTAATTGTAGAAAGTGTCTTTTTCCCTACTCCAATTTCCTACCCCTGTTATTCCACTACTACTCTATTTTAATTGAAATAATAATTATATCTTGGAAAAAAAATAGGAAAATATCTTGAAAAGGAATTTCAGTTAAAATAGATTTTTTGCAAGGTACTGATAAATTGAAAAGTAAATAATTGTAACAAGATATATAGACATTGAGCTTGAACCAAGCTGAACTTGAGCAATGAGACTTGTAGCTGCTTTGCAGATTTTTCTTAGGTCCCATTGGATGACCTCCACAAATGTGTAACATTTTTTCACCATGTACTGTGACTTCTCCCTTTTTGTTGATCCATTCCACCTGGCAGGATTAAGCATCAAGAAATATGTTGAAATGGAATTTCCTGTGTTGTACATCAGCTATAGGATTTTGTTCCAGTTAGATATTTACACAATTATATTCTGTTTGTAAGAGTTGTTTCCTACTATGCTACACATTTCCTACACATGTCTTTCTGAGCCAGGCCAGGCATATAATGATCAGTCTGAAAATACCTGTACATATTTATAGACTCTATGAGTCATGGAAAGTGCTATATACTGACATTAAATCTCTTGGTATTTGTATGAAATAGTCCCTTGTTCTACAAAATCTTAATTAGCTTTATTTGTAAGCAGCTTTATTTGTAAGCACACTATTAGTTCTACTGCTTTCAATTGAAATTAAATCCTAGTGGGGGTTTGTGGTGTAATTGCATGGCTAATCTAAAGCATGCACAAAGCTTTGCTAGAAGTTAGTACGGGTTTTAAGGGTATAGAATTGAACTTATGTGCTGTAAAAGTTTGGTTTTTTTGGTTTGGGTTTTGTTTTAATCCTTCCCAGTGCTTCAGGAGCCCTTGAGTGGCTTCTGCTTTCTCTTGTGTTTCAGAGGCTCTCAAAGGCCCCCTGAATTTCACTATTCAGTCTTTGAGCTCTACCTGGTTACCTGAAGCTGGGAACCAAGGCTCCTTCTTTATCCCAGAGAGAGAGGGGCATGCTTCTGAGGTGCTCTCAGCCGTGCTGAGACCTCAGTCAGAGGAGCTGAGGCTGCATTAAGCTGAATAGCTACAGTCAGTCTAAGCTACACATCTTGCAAAATTACCAGCTCTGGTCCCCAGTGCAGCGCAGCTGTGTCAGCATGACAGGATCCCGAAGTTCACAAGCCCTGAAGCTCAGAGTCAGGCTGACACAATTACCCTGTCTGGAGGAGGGTCAGGCGATGCCAGGTCAGGACTCTGTGCTGTGCTCAACACAAATGTGAAACCAGCAGAAGGCAGAAATCAGCCTGCAAAACCTGGAGAATCACACTGAGATGTTAATTTGCTTTAGCTGGTATTATTAAGCTACAGCTTTTGGGGTAAGCAAGACCAGCTTCACAAGGCTTAGCACGCTTTAAAATACATGAGCCCTTTTTGATTTCATTTTGTTCATCTATCCATGGATGATAAGGATCACAATTCGGTGTGGGGAAAAAAAATCTTCCACTTCACTGCTGAAATTTTTTGTTTTCCAAGTCCTTCAGGGCTTTGGCACAAAGTTCTGAATACCAGTCCCAGCAGTAATATGACAACTGTTGCTCACATGACCATGC